TGCAAAAATTGTGAAGATCTAGAGTTCTTCTTCATTGAATAGCTGAAAGAAAAATGTTGTTGTGTGAGATGATGTGTTGAGTGTTGCATTAGATGTTGAGTTGAACATCATGTTTAATGCTATGTCTGATGCTGTGCTCAATGCTGTGCTTAATGCTGTGTTTGATGTTGATGTGAGATTAAATCTACACTCAGTAAAATCATTCAATCTCAAATCTGCTGATGAATCTTGACCATCACATTTGCTGTTATTTGTCTTGATCAAATATGTCTTACTCTGTGCATTGCAGATATCTCTCAGCTGATTTCTTGAGTGTTTTTGAACAGTTTCATTCTTTATTTCTGATTTGATGAGACAGAATGAATCATTCACAGTGTGTGGTTCAAGACAGTTAGTGCAGTGATTGAGACATTCATATGCTTCATTCTTTTTATGACAGAATGAATTTTCTTTTACATGATTCTTAGAACTGCATTTTTTGCAATGAGGAACACAGAGGCAGTATCTCTTTTGATGAAATTCTCAACATTTGCTGCATTGTTGTATTTTGATCTTAAATGTTTTTTTAATCATTGATCTTTGATATTCATATAGTTTCACTTTTGATGGCAGATTTACTGCTGTCTTTTGTGAAAAGTGTAATATAAAAGTGACTGTTGAGTTTTCAAAGTATATTTTTATTCAGTGACTTTGAACAAATTTGATTTTAATTTAAAGTGTGAATTCTTCTGTTATGAATTCTGCTGAGAGATACAGAGTTTCATCATCATAGTCACTAATCTTCATGAGCAGCTCAGAAATCAAATAGATGATTTAATATTCTTTTTTCTCTATCTGAGCATTGATGAAAGTGGCTGCTAAAACATTTTTTTTGACTAGCAGAGTCTTCATGTCTTGCAAGCTTCTAGAAATGATGGCAATGTTTATGAAAATGACTTGAACTGCTGTGATGACTGCTGTCAAAGATCTCAGAAGTTCAGTCTTCAGCTTTTTAAAAGTAGCAATTGAGCTTGCTTTGCAAGCTAGATGATCTGAAGACAGATGCATAAGAATTTATGATGTTTTTCCTTTTCTAAGATTATTTCTAAGCAGAGGTTTCTGCAGTATGATTGCTGGTGTTTTTGTTACATTGATGCTGTCTGCAGCTGTCTTTGTGTAGGTAGGAGCTCTTGCATCATTTGCACCAGTGGAGCCAGCAGGCTTGATTGTGGTGGACTGCTTAGCTGTTTCTAGACTTTCATTGTACCAGTCCTTGACTAGTGCCTTTACAGCAGCTCCAAGGGCCAGTACCCTTGATAGGCCTTTTGCCTTCATGACATCTAAGTCTTCTTCAATCTGATCAAGCATATTTGCAGCAGCTAGTGCTTCTGCATGGGATTTCTGTGCCTCAGCCTCGTGGGCGGCTAGGAGATCGCTAGCCATCGGGCCACGTAGGTTGAGATGTATTGGTGTGACATTTCTGCTCTTTGAGCTGCCTGCTGGTGTAGGGGAGCTTGGAGGCTCCATGTCATTCAGTTCACATGTGCGGTGGGCGATTGGGGTGAGGAGATGGGGTCTCTTGGGTGGACGGCGTATGGGGGAGCAGATGCATGTCAAGGCTTGGGACGCGTTCAGTGTTGTTGGGGGGCTGGGCGCGCTGGCAGCGCTGCGTCGGCACGCCATCAGGCTTGCTGCCTGAGGGGATGGGAGAGAGCTTATAGGGATGTGATCAGGATTGATTAAGACGTTTTTGATAACTGTTATTATTGTGTGTTTAGCTGTTGTTGTTGTTGTTGTTGTGTTGAACCTTCTATTCAGAGGAGCTAGCTAGGTTATTGCTATATTACATACAAGCGATCACGTGTGGGCGGGGCCGTCGCTAGGGCAACGCCACCCAGGCGGGCGCCGCTACATTATAACGACCCGTCACATGGTCACGTGATGAGGTTAGGCCTAATCGGGCCCCGGGCCTTGGTCGGGCTCGGTCGGGCGCTGAGCCTAACATACACTTACTATAAGCTTATCTACTGAAGCTATGTTTCTAACTACTGAGGCGGCGCCTTGATCACATAAGCTTTGAAGCTCCACCCTCATCGCCTCTGTAGAGCCTTCTCTTTATATATGAAGTCTGATCTCTACATGATATGTCTTCTATTTTCTTCTCTAATGATTTTTTTTGTTTTCATATGTGTTAGTTATTAGCTGTTCTCAGCGACTTTGCCTGTTGGAGCAATAAAAGTAAGTAAAAGCTGAAGCTGTTTCTCATAAACTGACTGCTTAGTAAGTTTATAAAGTAAAAAACACATAATAACTTACTGAAAAAGCTGCTTAAAAAGTTTAAAAATACATTAACTGAGTTAGTCAAATAAAAAAGCATTTAAAATCTTTCAAATATATATATATATTAAAGTTAACTGTTAAAAAAACTCAATATAAAAAGTTTATATTTTTTTCAATCTAATACTGAGTGAGTTATAAATTTGATAATAAAATCTTTATTAAAATCAAGCTATTTAAAGAGTTTCTTTAGTTTTTATACTTGAATTAAGTGATTTATCAATTAATTTAATATTTAAATTTATTATTAAATTTTATATAATCTACTATTTTATTCAAAACTTAGTTATAAAATATCTATAATCATAATTTATTACAAAAGTCATCAAATTTAAATATAAATAATATACCAATAAATCATATAATAAGTAATAATATATATTTAATGATAAATCATATTATATTAGTTTAAATTTTTTTTAAAAAAAAAATGATATATTGATTCATATTTTTCAAATTACAATTAAATAATTAATATAATTTATCATTAAATAAGTCATATTCTTTTTTTTAACATGCACAAATTCTTTTGATTTTATTTTATCAAATATTAAGTAAAAAATGACAAGTTAAAAAAAAGTAATAAAAACTACAATAATTTATTAAAAATATACAAACTATAACAAACTACTCTTCAAACATTAATGAAACATCTTTAATTTTATATTATTCTTGTCTAAACTTCTGATGATACTTCATATTTATAAGTTTCAAGACTATTATATCTTGTATGGCTGAGTAAGAATCTGAATAAATAAATATATAAATTAGAAGGAGAACATAATTTCACAAAATGAAACAAGAAATGCAAAAACCTACATCTCAAAAAAGTGGAAATTATATTAATAAAATGAAATAAATAAAGCTACAGATATATTTCATAGCCTGGTTTAATTAACTAATTAGCCCCTTTAAGCTGAAAGTGATAATAAATAATGAATAAGAGGAAAGAGTGCAGGGGACTGAAACCCTGATTCTGGCGACTTGATCAAACTTCTCAATGGCCTGAAACAAGCACCGCGAGTTAGTGACAACAATTGAGGAGTTTACCCCCTAAATATGCATGTTCCAGTGTTTTCCTCCTGTACAAAGTCCCCACAACAACATGGTAACGCAGCCTCTGATTTTAAAACATTTCCTTCACGTCTCTAATTCAAATAAGTGAAATTACTCTGATAAAAAGAGCCATCACTCCACTAGGAGTTCCTTCCCTCAACTGTAAACCAGCTTTTAGGCCGTTTGAGGTCCTTAATTTATCCACGATGGGGAACAGGACGTCAAGGTTATGGTGATAGAAGGGGAGGAAACGGGACGTTGGATATTTTCAGCCACTTGGAGATCTGGTTTTTCAGCAATCCTTGATGAATTAAGCTTAAACTTTTTAAGCACCATATTTGAAGAAAAGCCATTTTCCCCAGAGGACAATAAACACATTGCATGTGGAGTATATCCACTGGTACATACGCGACATATCAAGAAAAGAAATTCTGTCGCATGGATAGAGTGGAAATAAGAGAGATATAGAATCCTCCGAGGTAGGGAAATGAAACGCGAGGAAATAAGACACAATGTCCAACATACCTAGCTTCTTGAGATAGGAACGCTTTAAAAAGATGGCTTGCAAGTGGAGGATATTTTTCATTCTTCAACCATATCTGGTCAGAAGTGTGCGCCTGGATGGCCCAAAGGAGCTCAGGATCTCTTGAGACTAAGCTTGCAAAGGTAACTAGTTATTTGAGGATCTGTCAACGAGGCCTTAGCATCAAGACTAATGAAGCGATGGTGAGAGGAGAATAACTACCACATGAGGCTCAGGATTTGATTTGGAACAGAATGTCCGCCTCCAACTACAATTCCAAATAACTAAGATTCAGAAAATCCAGAAGAAAATTCGCATCTTATTTTAGAGAAATTATCACCTGAATATTCAGCTGGTAGCAATCTGTTATACATCCAGTAAAGCACACGTCTTTCTACTTCCCACGAGCTCCCAATGCGGAAATTTGAAGAAGCCAGAGTCGGAAAGAATTTTGGACTCGGATGATTTTGTGGAAGAGGGTGCGACGATACACAGTCATAATGACTTCTTAAGGCTCCTCACCCCTCAGTCCGAATGGCATGGACATCATGTATTGATACTTTTAATATTCGGATTCCCGCCAGCTTCTGTGAGCGATTTTTGTTCTGCTCATGGAAGCCCTTTGCCCGCCACAGTTCCCTTATTTCTGGCAAGCCCAATCCAGGAAGAACTTTGGTTGTTATTTCAAGTCTCTGCAGTGCATATGCTCATTAAGGAACTAAGTAGCTAGTTAGTTTGCAGCTTTTTCTTCCACAGTTGACCATTGGTTTGAATGAAGTTGAACTTGGGTTTAAACCTTATGTTGTTTTACCAGCGCAACAGCCTTCATTGGTGGCGAGGGGCTCAATCAAACCTGACCCAAGTAACTAAACCTTTTCGTTCTAATAAGCTAGCTTATCTAGAAAACATCTCTCTTTTGCCATCCATGCCATGGAGAACAATGAACAGAAAGCCAAATTCTTCCCAAATGTCAACCCACGTGCAGTGGTTTCCATCGCCACCCTCATTTATCCATATAAATACGCCTTGAAACTACAGGTAGCTAATCTAAGCTCCAAATATTCATTCTCTATGCTTGAATTGTTTTCGTCTCCCAGCAGAAAATATGAAGCTCACGGTCTTTCTAGTGGTCGCGATCCTTTTCCTGAGTGGTAATCCCACTGGGGTTAATGCCTTCAACAAAACATATTGTCAGCTCGACCTTCCTCCACCCCAAAACTGGATCCCAGGCCTCAATTTGTTCCCTGGCCGTGTTCTCGAAGGATTTAATAAGAACTTCAGTGAAGGTTCTCTGGAGGATATAATTCAATATGCTCAGTGGATATGTGACGGCAACAGTGGCTGCACTTCCCTTATAGTTGTTTCTGGTACGTTTCCGGTCCCGAACATGGCACAAAGGGATAACATAATGCAAGAAGACATGTTAGACTGACGGCTACTTCAGCGATACCCTCCGGCTCCTTCTATAACCCTCGTTCATGGTTTGGTTATCTTTTTTCCGGCCCTCCTGTAACTCCTTCGGACTTTGTTAGGGGGCCTCCCGCACAAAATGTACAGAACTCTACTGTCTTTAATGCCTATACAAACTCAACCCGCCCTGGGGTTGATGCTTGTGTTGCGCATTGAATACAGAGGAAGGTGTTACAGCCGTTTCAATTCTTAACCAGCGCATCACCTTGATATTTTCATATTTTTGGTATTTCGTTTTCAGATTTGTGGAGTTTCTCTTTAGAGGTGGTGCGTATAAACTGGGTATTCCCGCACTTAGGTCTAAATTTTCTTAATCATCATATAGATTTTCAAATGTTTTAAACTATCATCCGAAAAAGTTGCATCCTATACTCCATACACTCTTCCATTGTAGCCATAGGATCACATTAGTCGAGATTTATTCTCCGTGAACCTCGTCTCTTGTGTGTTTTTCTACAAGCCTCTCCTCGCAATGGAATCTGCTGAGCTGAATTCACTAAGGGTTCGCATTCTGTGTGCGTCACATTTATTGATGGCAGTGGTGAGAATCTGCACTATCAGCTATAATTTTATATGGTCTGGTTTTTTGACATTCTTCTTTTCTCCACTTTCAATTTGCAGAACCCGCTTGACCCTGCAGCCATAGAGAGGATTGTGAGATCTTGCAATCAACAATCAAGTTGATGCTCGGTCAAGGACGCTTTCGGAACCCAATCCAATCCACTTATTAGGACGGGGGCATAGATAAATTGGTGAAGTACCTGAATTTGAAAACTTTATAGCATAGCGTAAAAGGCCGGGGTTAAATTAAATTAGGTTAGGCATATATTAGGTTAGGGCTAAATAAGGTTATTGGAGAGATTAGGTTAGGATTAGGGTTGAGGTTAGTTAAGAGCAAAGGAACCTGAGATATATGGAATGAAAGGCAATTGAATGTGATACATGGGGCGGATAATGAGAAGCGTTCTTTCAAGGTAGATCGAATACGGAGTACATGACAGAATGCAAGCTTGGTTTGATTGCAGAGTTTGCACGCTACGAGAACGACTATGGTGGAGAACTGGTCACGTGACTGAACTTGACCTTGTTCGCATATGCCTTAGAGCGGTTACAACTGAAAATGGTATACAACCTTGCCACGTCTCCAATCAACTTGTTTAACTGGTTGGTTAGTTACTTAAAAACTCTAACTTACTAAAAACGCTCACCCGTTCCCACAGAATTGACAAATCAAATTTTGGCTTCAATCAGACCGAATTTCAATGCTCGCAGATATCATTAACTATCCCCAAACCCCCCACTCCTGGGGGCCCGGAACCCTCAACCCTTAACCCATCAAATGCAGTCAGAATCCGTTTTTGGATTGCAATCCGAGCAATTGCGTTCAAAACGAGGCGGCTTAACTTGTAGCCTCTCTGAAGTAGGTGTTCCTCATCTTTGGCGCGAAGCTCAGCATCAATGGCACCCGAGACGGCTATGCATTCTAGCCTACAAATGGATAGAAGCATGTCATTAGTAGTTAAACAGTAGGTATTACCCAACCATGTACGGAGTATTTTTGGGCCCCATCGTAGCATCATTGAGTAGCTAGATGACGATGACACGCCAAAGAAATGAGAAGAGAAAAAGGGTTAACTTGAGCTAACTGATGCTGTGGGATCCAATTTGTTACAACTCTTCATCTCCGTGAAAGCAATGTGATCATTGCCATGTGCTGTTCTTTGTTGTGCAAGCTCCTCTGCGGCTGGATGCAGGTGAGTGGTTTCTATTTCGCCGTGCTTCAAAGGCTTCGGACCGAAGGGGCATGACGCTGATCTTGCTTCGTAGAGTCTAGGGTGCCCACCTTAGAATTTCATGCCGTAATCATTTTCTCACTGTAACGTGAGGATACCAGTCCCATGATGTCACGGAAGAGAAGCATCCGAGGTCGGAACAATATTGGAGTTGGCACCTGCGACACACCCGGATTTGACATTTTGACTTTTCATCCTGACCAGTTTTGAGTAACATCGGCTGCTAAACTTCCTTCCCCTCATCCCGATCACGTGTTACCGTACAAAAAGCAATTCCCAAGCCTTGGCACACACAATATGCCGTTTTCTGGTTCCTTGGAAGATCGATCATTCCCCATTCGGCAGAAATAACCGTCCTTCTCAACCTATGATTTGTTAACACAGCTGCTTGTAATATGGATTAAGGTTGATCCGCTCCAATCCTCAACCTCTTTATATTTGGTTGCTAAATTCATTCCACATTCTAATCCTTAGTTTAGTATTCTTGTCACAGCTTCCTAGTTAGATAGATGAATTGAAGCTTTTGTCGTGTTATCATCTTGACTCTAGACTGAGTCATGACATAATACTAAACTCCTCTTTCTCAAAAAGCTCTGAGAATTGAGTAGGCAGGTCTTATGTTCACATCTGTGTGATGGCGTAGAACGGACCCCGCCCAGACCACCGGACACCTTAAGTCCACCGGATAGAGCAGACCCCGGCCACCGGATAGAACAGGCTCCGTCCTAGCATCGGCGTAGCAACCACCCCACAATTACCCCACAGAAACTGCCTAACAACGACCTAGCAACCGCGTGAGAGAAAGGGGTAAGGCGCTAAGGGGTATATAAACTGAGCCTTCCCGGGCCCGTCTTTTAGGAACCATCTTAGTATTTTGTTTTACCTAGTTGGCAATCAAACACCTGTTTACCTGCGCCTAGATTGAAGCCGCGACACAATGCAGATCAAAGAAAAGCTTATGAAGAAAGTCTGCTTTATAATTTTTTTTTTTTTGAACTTGAGCTTTCTCAGTAAAATGCAAGAAGTTAAATACAAATATATGATGGTCATCTTCATTTCTCATTATCAGCTATTAATACTTCATCATTGCATTTATCAGCTTGTTGATTTATATATATTCTTTGCAAATACTTAAACACTTTCTTTATCATTTCAAACTTCTTAAAATAATTTTCTCTCATTCTCAAAGTAAAATATATTGCAGCTTCATTATTTGTTTAGTTTACAATATATACAATATAAGTTTCATTGATTAAAAAGTAATCAGCATTAACAGCTAACTTGTATCTTATTTATAAAAGTCAATTCTTGAATATCAGTTTCTTTTTATTGATAAAATATTTAAAATCATTAAATTTAGCTGATCATAGCTGTTATAACTCAAATGAAGATATGATGATAAAAAGATAAAAACTTTAATTTATCTATCTAACTAGACAGCTGCAATAAAATTACAAAAACTGAAGTTTTCAACAATATCTTTTTCAAAACTTAGATAATTTTTGAAATTTTAATTCAAGAAAACTTTTATTTAAAAGCTCTTATTTAAATTGATTAATTTTTAAATTTTCATATTATTTAGATAAGATTTGAAAAATTAATTATTGAAAATATGCTTTTTTTAATAAATAAATATTTATCAATAATTTTTATCATGAATTTACAATATTTGATCTAAAAAGTATGAAAATTAAATAATTAAGAGATTGATTAAATTAAAATAATTGAGATAGTTTTCAAAAACTTTTATTAAGTCATTGTTAAAAAAAAATATATCTGAGCTTTTTAAAAATTCTATTAGTTTTGATTTTCTTTTCATTATATTAAATATCTTCTCATATCATTTTCATCAAAGTTTATCTAAATATAATAGAAAAAATATATATGAAAAAAAAGTAAAAAATATATAATTTAATATTTCTGCATCTAATCTCTATAAACTATAGACTAAAGATTAGAAGTAGTTAAGTATAATTGAGAATAGAGATAAGCTAGAATTAAGTACATATTTATAAAAATTTTTATAAAGTTGAGCTATAATTAATTCTTTAACAAACTTAATAGAACTTAGTTAAAACTTAATTAAAATCAACTAAAGCTTTAACTGAATCTGATTAAACTCTTATAGAGAAGATGATTTAGTGATATTTATGAGTTTTTTTTAAAATATTAGTTTTTTCTGATTTCTCTTTAAAAAGTTAAGAAAACTTTACTCAAATTTAACTTTTTCTTTAATAAAGAAAAATTTAAATATTGATTCTACATTTATTTTGAAAAAATTAAGCTGTACATTAATTGTATGAAGAAAAATTCTTTAATATTAATATAATTAATTAGTTCTTAATAATTTTTCTATAAAAAATTACAATTTTTTACTAGTTTTTTATCAAAAACTAGTATTTTTTTTTAAATTAATTAGAATTAAATCCATTAATTTTTTAATTTTTTTATATTTTAAAATATATTTATAAAAATTTTATTAGTTTATCTTAAAAAATAACCTTAATTTACTAGATTTATTTGTAAAATCTAGTTTAATTACTGAATTAATAGTAAAATTAGAAAGATTTCTATCAAAACTTATTAAATTAAATATATAAGAACTATAAATAAAAGTTAAAACATGAAAAAAATACTCTATACATTTAAAATAAAGAAAGTAATTCAGGAAAAACATATTAAAAACTTATTAAATGAGAGATAAAAAAAATAAATTAATATATTAAATTAAATAATTTAATAATTTAAAGCTTGCAATATCTATTTTGAAAAAATAAATAAATAAAAGAAAAATTAAAAAATTAAAAAATTTTTAATTTTAATATTAAAATAAATTTATAAAATTATTAAGTTTAAAGTATATATAATCAGCTTAATCAGATATATTTTACTTTAATTTCAAACTAGTCAATTTAAACCAAAAAACTCTTATTTATTTTATTTAAAATTAATTAAAAGTAATATAAAGTGTAGTTAAAAAGTCTACTTTTACATAAATTGCTACTATTTTTATTTCTACTTCTGCTCAATTAGTGTTTTTGAAAGTTTTAATGAAAAAAAGTTTAAAATTAAAAAAAAGCTTTAAAATAAAAAAAGCTAAATTAGATAAAAAATAATATCTCATTTTTAAAACTCTCAAATAGAGAATAATAAATTAACTTCAAAGCTTAAAAATAATTTTAAAATTAAGAAATAATTTAAAATAAGATTTATTTTTAATAATAATAAATAAAAAACTTATTTCTATAATTAATAATTTTTTATAAAAAACTCTGTAGTAATTATTTTATTATTTAAATTCTCAGCTAACTTTCTCATTAAAAATGAGAAAAAATAAAGATTTTCACTAAAAAAAAACTATAAATAGAGATTAAATTAGATAAAAATGAAAAATAAGAAAAATTTCTTATTTATAATATTTCTCAATAATATTTTTTATTAATAAAAAAGATATAATAGTATTGAAAAAAAAGATAAAAAATTATAATTATTTAATTCAACTAAAGAATAATCTCATCTGACTAGATAAATTTCATATTAGATAAAAAAAATAAAGTAGAATTAGTATTAATTGTAATTAAGTTATCAGAATAAATAAAAATTTTATTAGTTTTCAAAGCTGATCAAGTACTTAAAACTTT